CAGAAACAGTACTATATAACATTTTAGACACATTCTAGACAGTTTATCAGCTAAAAAAAGTTAATTTTGGGGTAAGTTACTCTTTAAACTACAAATCTTGGGATAACTGCAGGCATAAAATGGCAGAGTTTACTTCCATGTTTTCAACCTCTTTGCCACTACAAGCCCCTGCATATAGCATCTTGTTCACCTGCTCAAAAAACAAAGTTCAGTCATGTCCACTGCTTGTGGTTTAAACATGGGAAAGTCTGTTTTCAATGAGACTTGACTTGATATCAGTGATTTTTGCACTCRGTTTGAAGCGATCCACAGCAGTTGAAATGAAGGTCTCATAGATATGACCATTTCATTAAAATAATTTTGTGTTCTTGTATTAAAATTCAATATTCTTTAATAGCTAAATTGATAGCAGTAAAAGGTTTATATATTAAAAATTCTGGGACCACTTGAATGCTTCTGTTAATGTGTCTATTTGGTCTTAAATTTCATTCCTAATGGTCTTAAAAGGTCTTTAAAAGGTCTATATTTAATGTACTGAAACCTGCATGAACCCTGTTATTTCACCTGTTCTACCAGTCTGGGTCAAAACAAGTTGGTTTGTAAAATCATATATTTTTTCCTCTACCTGCTGCTGTCTGCCCCCTCCTGTAGTTTCTGTTAGAGTTGTTGAGCAGGCAGGAAAAAGCCTCATCAATCAATGAACCAAGAAGAAACATTTCCTCATTTTAGTTTCTGTGTATAATAGAAGATTAGTTTTCTTTCACATTAAAGTAGTATTTCCTCTGCCGCTGTTTGACTTTGAGGTGTCCAAGCGTGCAGCGTGACCTGAATTGTAAAACCAACTTTTACCACAAGTTTCTAATTATGTCACAGATAGTATTCTGATGAAAGGCTCCTTCCTGCTGGCTCTCCGTGCTGCATAGTTGGTCTCACAAGACTGCACTCTATTCTTGGACATCAAGGTCGCTCGGCTGTGAGGCTGCTGTTCAATCTTTCTGTCCTCCTCCGTGTTCCACTCTCAGCTCCATGTGTCATGGAGATCCTTCTGTCCTCCCACAATTCAGCCCCCTCCCTTCTGCTCTTTTCATTGGGTTGAATGTCTCTGCACATCCCCGCCCTTCCTTCCTTCTTTAAGGAAGGCTTTGTGGAGGCCCTTGTCCTACCTCTGGCCTCCTTCTCTCTCCACTTTTCTCTCCCCGCCTCTTCCACCCCTCTGCATTAAACATGTCATTACGGAGCGCAGCTAAAAGCTACAAACAAGCTTTGAATAACAAAAAGACCACGTTGCTAAGCAATGCATCCCTCCGTAAGCTGCTGTAGATGTTTGAGGGGAGTATGAGCAGAGTGCATGGTGTGTCAGTGTCAAGTCCTCACATTGAGAGAGGCTTTAAATAAACAAGCTCCACACTGGATGGAAGAAATGGATGAAGTAGGAGTTGTGCAGAGGTAGAGGAGGACAGTCAAACAATAAAGGAGATGGACCTAGATGAGCTGACTGATTAATGGGAATAGACAGGTTTGTCAGGAAGAAAAGAAGRAAGCAATGAGGCCAGTGAAGGACATGCAGGGCTAATTCCTGGCTTGCTGATGCTAGCATGTGGGACAGGCTCGTTGTAACCTTGGTAACAGAAACCTACAGAGCGTATCAGGGATTGTCAAAGTATCCAGGCCCCTTTTGTTTTTTTCCCCTTTTTAGGTCACACACATGCACACGCATGCACACACACACACACACACACACACACACACACACACACACACACACACACACACAGCAGATCTGAAGAGTTCAGCACACATGTATTAAACCCTTCTGCTGCTCAGGGACCTCCAGTCTGCTCTGATGAGATGCAGGAGGGCTAAGGGGAGAGAATACGAGTCGGAAAGCCTCATGTTTATTCTGGATATCCCGACTGAGTGCTCCTGTCTTTCTGTTTTTTTTTTTCCCCCAGTTTCTCTTACTCTCCATCTTTGTCTTTAGCCGTTGACCCTTTTTATCAGCAGGATGAGTCCAGGGCTCTGACTGTGTGGATGTAGTAATAAGGCAGTAGTGTCATGTTCACTGTTCATTTTAAGAGCTGACAGGAAGAGTTGAAGCTGTCAGCCTGTTTTTGTCCACGTGTGTCATTTGTGTTGAGGCTGAAGTCCAACGTAGTATTTTCAGCCTCTCATCTTGTTTTGACAGACTTGAGTCATGTCATCCATTATGTAGCTGGTGTTACCTCGACTCTCCTGCCCCTCATTTTATTTTTTTATCCGCAAATCCTCTTTACTCTCTGTTTACTCTTTTTTTTCACTCAAATATCCAGAATTCATATCCAGAATTCAGTAGTTACCCCATGCTGCTCTGCACACAATTCATCGTCTCCTTCATCAAACAGCTACATTACAATGATATGACATAAAAATTGTTTACATTTTTTAAATTTGGATTCTGTGGAAAGGTTATGAGTAATTAACGTCTTACCTGTTGTAGTTTTTTTTTACATCAGTTTAGATAAATGGAGTTCCTTTTCAGCCTTCACCTATAAGTTCGGAGTCACCAGRGTCATTACTCAGTTCTATCGCCTTTCACCTCACGATAGTCACCTCTAAACCTGAGCTCACATAGCTGCTGCTAGTTAGCTCAGCTTCTAGAAGGTTCTTAGGCTAGCTTCACTGGTGCTAACCGCGTTACCTGCTGGTTCATTTGTCTGCCGCTTGACACTACATAAGTG